GCCATGGTGCTGGTGCAGCTGGCGCTGGTGCAGCTGCGCAGGGGCTTCAGTTTCGAGGACCACCAGGTGAGGAGCCTGGGCGGGGGCTCCGACTTCCGACCCCATCTTCCGTGCTCCGCCTCGCAGGCTGTCCAGGACACAGCCTGGGCAGGTGTCCCCAAGCAGTTAAGGGAGGCTCCTGACCCACGGGGCCTTGCCTGCCTGGCCCAGTGACCCCTCTGCTCCCCAGGGAGACCCACCCACACCTGTGTGCACGCTCCAGGGGCCTCGCTCTTGGAACGGGGGCAGCAGGTTACGTGCAGAGGGGGGGACTTCAGGCTGGGGAGGACCAGCCAAGGGTCCTGTCCACCCCTCTGTCACCCCTGCCCTCCCCAGCATCCCCCTAGCCCTGGGGACAACCGCCTCCTGGAACAGGAGCTGCTGGCCAAGGCACTGGAGCATGCATGAGCGGCCAGCAGGTGGCGGCAGGGGGTCTCCTTGGGGACCGCCTTGCGAGCTGGGGTTCTGTCCTCCCTGAGCCTTCCTGCTCTGCTCCTGGCTCTGAACTTGAGGATCTGGAAGCCCCTCCCTACACTCTGGCCAGCAAGGCGTTCACCTGTGTGTGTGGGAGTCTGGTGACCCTAAGACCCCCACCCCAGCCTCATGAGGGCATAGCAGGGCCACCCCTTGCACTTTCTGCTCCAATCCAGGGGCAAGTTGGGAGCACCCCCAGAGTCTTGGGAGCACGAGGAGGACCGAGCAGCTGTGTCTGAGGGGCACCAATGACCGGCTCCCCCTGCAGCTGGTGAAGAGGCTTGTCCAGGCCAGGGACACTGCCTGCCTCCAGCCCACCTTGGATGTCTTCTGCCCCGAGGACCTGCAGCTGCTCCAGGGCCACTGCCACACTCGGGCCCTGGCCATCCTGCAGGCACGGCCAGGCGCAGCCAACAGCAGGGCCCACACCAGGGACACCATCAGCGATCTCTCTCTGCAAGTAGGGGCCGGCTGCAAGTAGGGGCCGGCCCCCTGCCCAAGAAGCCCATCCCGTGGCAAGTGCATGAGGGGATGGGGGGGTCTTTGCCGAGCTGCAGGTCAGGGATGTGAGGTCCGAGGACAGGGCTGGTCTCAGGTGTGTGCGCCCTGGGAGCACCTTGGGTGGGGGCACCTTGCACACAGGCCCTGGCCACGCAGGTGAACTTGCAACGCCTGAGACGCGTCTGCACCAGCCGGGCACCAGCCAGGCTTCCATCCCAGCCCCCACGGCTCTGTGGGCAGTCAGGCCCCTTTCCAAACTCAATCCCCACCCCCAACCAAGTCCACCTAGGGACAGTGACCGAGTGGTGGGCACCTGGCCTCCCCTCCTGGCTGAGCTCCGGGTGCAGGGGCACAGTCCTGGGGGGTGGGACCTGTCCCGGGACACGGGGGGTGGGAAGTGTGGGCCAGGGGCCTGCCTGCCAGTGGTCCCTGGTGGGCCTTGCTAGCACCCCCTGGCCTGACAGAGACCCCTGCAGGGTGGGGGGGCTGAGTGAGTCCTTCCCAGCAGCACTGGTGGGGAAGAGACATGGCTGGTCGGCCCCCCGAGCTGGGTGCTTTGCCGGCCATGTCCACCGCTGCACATGTGCCAGAGGGCTCCTCCCTGGCTGCCTCTCCCACCCCACCCCTTCCTATTGGCTGCCTTTCCCTTCTCCCCCAGAAGCAGCTGCAGCACCCCTCTTCTCAGAGCCCCCCAGGCTGTCCATCACTCCTCTGGGGGCCGTCCTGTGGCCAGTGTCCTGGCCAGCCCTGACTGTCCCTGTGTTTTGGTGCCCAGAGTCAGCACCCTCTGCTCTGCCGGGTCAGGCGCCAGGAGGAGCTACAGCCATGTCCTGACTGCTGCCTCCTGCAGGGAGCCAGGCCAGTGAGTCCCTGCTTGCCCGAGCCCTATGCTACAGTCTCCTGGGCCAGATGAAGACTGCCATGTTTGACTTCAACTCCGTGCTGCGGGCCGAGCTGGGGAACATGCAGGCTCTGTGTGGGTGGGCGCTCATGAACCTGGCCCTGGGCCAGCAGCAGATACTGAACCCCCGTCCCCTCCTGGGGCTGAGCGAGCAGGGAGGGAGGAGACCCAGAGCCATGCTGAGGATGGGGAGGGGGCCCAGCCATGCCCAGCAGCGGGGTACCCACCAGAACCCCAACATCAGTCCCACCTGCACCACCAGGCACCCAGGTCAGGGACACTGCCCTTCTGTGCCTGCAGCCTCAACCTGTGCTGGTCACCTGTGCAAGCTCTCAGGGCACTGGCATCCTCTCCAGCCAAAAGGAATCCACCAGAGAGCCGCCCCCTATCCTGTCCCACCACGGGGTGTGGGCCAGGAGGCTCCTTTCAGCTGTCTTGGTGGAGGCTGCCAGGACAGTGTGTTGAGAGGGGCTCAGGGATGTGAGCCACGGGAGTAAGTGCTGCCATCGATTAGTCATGTCTGCTGGGGCACAGGCAGGTCAGGACTTGATTTGCCTGCTTTTGCAGTGAGTTTCTGTACCTCTGCAGAAACAGCTGCCATTCAACATAAGGGGCTGTGGCTCAGGCCGTCAGTTGAGAGACCCCCTCATACCAGCTAGGCCTGTGTGCTCAGAGGGCGTTCGGGTTCGTTGGTTTCTTTATGAGGTTTTTGTGTCTGTCCCTGTGCCATGCATGACATGCCCTGACCCGCTCCCCTGGACACCCACGCTGGTGCACAAGTGGGAGGGGGCCCAGTCCAATGAGGGGACTCGGCTGAGTCGCTTGTCCTCTCCACGCCAGTTTCCCCTCTGTGAAAGGAGATGGGTACTGGGCGGCCAAGGAGCAGAGAGGAGACCCTGGGGACACGGGGAAGACATGGCAGCCAGGGGCAGCACCCAGGGAACCACGGCTGTGGATCCTGAGCTTCAGGAGCCAGAATGGAACTCGGAGCCCAGAGGACACTGTCACAGTGACAGCTGGAAAGAAGGCCAGCACTGAGAGATGAGGGGTGGGCGCCAGGACTGACCTGCAGGGGGAGGGAATCCCACCCCAGCAGCCTGGGAGACTGGATGCAGTGAGCCCCCTCCTCGGAACGTGAGACCTGCCAGGAGGAAGCCACGGAGAGATGGACCAGCGATGGACCAGGGCCCCATCTGGGGCGTCAGAGCCCCCTGAGCAGGAAAGGCTCTGTGCCTGGTGGATTTCCCCGCGAAGCACCAACGTTTAGACAGACCCACAGAGGGAGAGACCCTGACCCTAGAGCCAGGTAGGCGCACCCTTCAGAAAGCCGGTGGGAAATGGCGCAAAGACCAAAAAAAGCCAAGCTCATGTAGACTCCGCATAACACGCGTTTTCACGGACTGCTGAAGCCCTCGTGCAAGACCCCTACACCTAGCATGGAGCCCCCTGGGCCCCAAGGTCATCTTCTACACCTAGCAGTGCCGACCCCAGGGACCCCGCCCGGAGTGGGCAGGTGGGCCTCGGCCCCCCAAGCCCTGAGGTCTTCTACACCTAGCGTGGGGCCCCGCCGGGGGGCAGCGCCCTCGGTCACCCAGAGCCCCCAGGCGGAGGCCGGCTGTGGCCATGGCTGTGGTCATGGCCATGGCCATGGCCACCCAGCCTGTGCCCAGGGCAGCGCCTTCGACCAGGTGATGGAAGGGTGTGCTCTGGAGGCCGTGTCCAGCCTTGTTCAAGGGCTCTGGGCAGCTCACTTTAGGACAGAGGCCAGCAAGAGATCCCCTCTGGTGCCCAGCAGAAACGGCGTGGGGGGTAATGGGGTTCATTGTCGTGGCCAGGGTGGGGCAGGCAGGGCAGCCCCTCCAGACGGAGCCCCACCCCTGCCCGCCTCCCTTCCAGGAAGCCGTGGCCAACATCATCTCTGCCCTGAAGCTGGACCTGGCCTCTGTGGTCCCTGAGCTCCACTCTCTGAGGCGCAACGCCCAGGGCCTCCTCAAGCAGGACCTGCATGCTCACTGCTGGGCGCTGCTGAGCCGGCCCCTCCGGTAGGACGACGCCCAGGGCCTTCTGGCCGCTGGGGAGGCACTGGTCCAGATGGACAGCGCACAGCCCAGTGGGCACCTGCTGCTGGCTGACGCCCTCATGGCGCTGGGTATGCCCGGCCTGCGCCACCCTTTGACCTGATACGCAGGGAAAGCGCCCCTGGATGGCAGTGACTTCTGAGGCCTCAGCCATGACCGCTGACCCCCCTCTGTACCCCGCGGAGGCCCGGCTCTGCCCGGGTGGCCTTGCCCCACATCGTCCTTGTGCTGTGCCACCAACGTCCTGAGAGCGTGGTCCCCACTTCTGGTTCTGCTCGGGCTGGTGGGGGGACGACCCCTTGCGGTGACCATGGGGGAGAGGCAGGGGCTGTGCAGCAGGTGAATCCGCGTGCCTCTGCCCGCAGTCCCTCGCCCACGCCCACACACACCCCCTCCCACCCCTACAGGCAACTACGAGGCAGGCGGTGCGTATCTGCAGGGGCCCTGCGAGCCGCTCAGGAGTCCGCGGCGGCCCCGGCTGAAGCAGGGAGACTTGCGGGCTGCGGCCCGGGACCTGCAGGGCCTGGCGGAGCCGGAGGCCACGGACCTGGGCTTTCTGCTGCGGCTGGTGGAGGCCTCCCAGCGGCAAAGCTTCGCCCAGGTGCGCCCGCGGGGTGCGCGTCGCATGTGCGGTGGGAGCGAGCAGCATCACTGGCCGGACCCTGGTCTCTGGCCGCCGGCCGCGATGGCCACGGGCCTCTGGGCTTGCTCGCAGAGGGCGTAAGCCTCCCGGGGGTGGAGGGAGACCCCTTGGAGCCCACCCTGCACCAAGCCCGCCTCATGCAGGGCGGCGCAACAGCTTCTCCCAGGCCTGCGCGTGGCGGGGGCTCCCGCGGCCTCAACCAACAGCGCTGGATGGTGGGCTGGGTACCGGAGCCCGGATCCGGGAGCACACGCGGGGTGGGGCCGGGCGGGGCCTCTGGGGCTGGACACGGGGCTGGGCGGGGTACTGAGCTCACGGGGTGGGGGGGCGCTGGGCGGGGCCTCTCGACTTAAGGGACATGCTGGGCGGGGCCTCTGGGTCGGAGGCGGGGCTAAGGCAGCATCTCTGAGAAGCTGCGGCCTTGCCTTTCCAAGTCTAAGAGGCTGCTGAGCAACGCGAGCAGAACCGGAAGTAGCCGTTCCCCACTTCCGGTGGCTGGCGGCCGGTCACCACACTCGGTCTGCGCGCTCCTCCCGCTGCCCACCCAGCCCAGCTGTGTGGGGCCTGAGCGCGCCCTCCGGGCCGGGCCGCAGTCTGGGGCGGGGTCTCTGTACAGCCTCTCCCAGGAGTTCATGAGCCCAGGAGGGTGACCGAGGGGGCTTCAGCTCGGCCTGGAAAGGAAGGCGCCGGCGGCATGGCCGGAGCTGCGCACTCCCCGCCGGCCCTGCCGTCCGGAGGGTGCGGTGGGGCCTGGACTGGCGCGTGTGCAGAGGCCTGGTCAGCAGCCTGCTTGTCCCTCGGTTGGTTCGCTGCCTTCCCTGCTTTGGGTCGCGAAGGTCGGTGGGCCGCTGTCCTGGGGGCGGGGACAGCCTGCGGAGGGCCAGTGGGAGGGGCTGCAAAGCCAGCTGGGATGGCAGAGAGCGCGGGGAGGGGGCCCCAGAGGTGGGAAGCGCTGGGCGCTGGCTAGGCTGACCCAGGCTCTCTCCCTCTTCCAATCTTCCTCCTCTGTACAGGCCTCTGCCCGGGAAGCCAATGCCCTCCTGGACACGGGGCGGCCGCGGCAGGCGCTGGGCTTCTGCTCCCTGGCCATGCTGGCTGGTGGTGGGGGCGCCTGCCACTTGCGCCTGCGTGCCACCTGCCTGGCCCAGCTGCGGGAATGCGACCTAGCCCTCAGGGACCTGGACCAACTGCTCCAGGAGGGTGCAGGCGATGGGGACCTCCCGCGGTGGGCGGAGGACCTCTGCTCCCAGGGCCGCCTGCTGCTGAGCCTGGGGGACGAGGTGGGGGCCGCCGCGGCCTTCAGCCAGGCCCTCACGCTGGCACCTGCCCCTGCCCAGAGCAGCCTGTGGGGGCAGCCGTGCCGGACCCCCACCGTCCGCCCATTCTTGCACCAAAGGCAGCGCTGCCTGGAGCAGCAACGCCACGTGGAAGCCTGGACAGCAGCCCAGAGAGGTCTCCTGGTGGACCCCGGCCACCGCGGCCTGAAGCAGCTGAAGGCCAGAGCCCAGAGAGGGGTGGACTCGGGCTGCTGGCTGCACTGACCCAGCCATGGCAGCCGGTCATCTTCAGCCTCGGGGTATGGCCCGCGCAGCGCCCCAGATCGGGAGGTGCCCGGCGCCAGGGTGGGACCCAGTGGGATGACCAGTCTCCGTCTTTTTGACCCTGGGAGTAAAGGGACAGCTTCCTGGGAGGGTCGTCCTGAGGCTGGGGACTCTGGCGCATACCTAGACCTGGGATGCTGAAGAAGCAGCCCAGGTCTCCCCCTGGCTGCACAGGACAAGGCCACGCCCTCACGCTGTGCCTGGAAGCCCCTCTTTGGGCCCAAAGCTGCCTCCCACCTTGGCCCTGGCCTGAGTCTCAGGGCTGCTGCTGAGTGCTTTCCTGGAAGTCACTCACGGGGCTGCTCCCCGTCTCGGGCCGTGGGGGGCCCAGTGAGCCTGCAAATCCTGAGGGGACCCCGCTTGGTACTTCCCTGGAGCTGGAGACAGCAGGGGACTAACCGTCCAGGGAGGCTCTTGCTCCCTGCCGAGGAGCATGGAGACCCCTCCCAGGCAGGCCAGGGAGCCCAGCCGTGCCCTGTCTCTGCCCATGCTGCAGCATGCATGAGAGGTGCTGGCAGACCAGACCCCAAACCCCCTCCCGGGCCGCCTGCCCCAGTCTCTGCCTGCTCCTCCCTTGGGCGTGAGCCACAGCGCCCCCACCCCTCACCTCCTGGTAGGCACCTGTCCCACCCCAAGCAGCAGAAGTGGCCCCAGGGTCAGCAGCCCCACCCCCATCCCCTATGGGCCCTCCCAGCACCCCGGCACCTGCTGGGCTCTGACCACAAGGACAGGGGCTGTAGGGACAGTGCCTCCCACCATAAGGATGAGGGGACTGGGAGTCCACGGTGGTGGGGGAGCTCCATTGCCTCTCTCCTCTCTGCCTCCCCACTCAGAAGCTCCCAGGAGGCCTTGGCGAAGTTTCCTGGGGCACCGTTTTCACCAAGTTTTTCCTCCAGTGTCCACGGTCATCCTTCTGTGTCCACCGTGTGCTCGTGGGCTCCACAAAGATGGCCTAACAGTGCGAGGAGCCAGGGATGGGGCCAGGTTCTGGTCAGTGCCCAGGCAGTGAGGTGAGGGCAGGTGCCGAGGGGCCGGGCAGCCGTGCCTCTGTCCTTGTCCTCCCCACCCCGGTGCCCTGCCCTGTCCATCACTGGGAGGCCATCAGAGCTTGGCTGCTGGGGTGCAGACACCCGACCTGCCTGGCCCCTCCCACCCCAGGGGGCAAGTACCCTTGGCTCATCTGGCAGGGGAGGCACTGGGCTACCACCGAGTGTCAGGTTGAAGCCCTCACCCCCCAGGGGGTGGGACTCACGGGGGAGAGGACATGGCTGTACCCTCCTCAGAGTCCGCTGGAGCCTTGGCCTTGAACCCCAGCCTCCAGACTGAAAAAAACTCCTGTGCATTTGCAGATATAAAACTTAGTTTTGCGGCACCTCGGTGGAGGATGGCCAGATCCCCGAGTTCATCTTCTACACCTAGCAGGGCCCGCGAAGTGGGGAGGCAGCCTCGGTCCCCAGAGCCCCCTGGGCCCCAAGGTCATCTGCACCTAGCACAGTGCCTCCAAGCTCCCTGGGCCCCAAGGTTATCTACATCTAGCGGTGCCGGCTGCGGGGACCCCGCCCGGGGTGGGCAGGTGGGCCTCGGCCCCCCGAGCCCTGAGGTCTTCTACACCTAGCGTGGGGCCCCTCCAGGAGGGCACCCTTGGTCACCCAGAGCCCCCAGGCGGAGGCTGGCCATGGCCGCCGTGGCCGTGGTCATGGCCATGGCCACGTAGCCCATGCCCAGGGTGGCACCTTCGACCCCAGGGCCAGGTGCAGGCCGAGGCTGCGGCCAGACCAAGAGCGGTGCCCACCTGTACATAGCCGAGCCCCCGCCCCCACCTCGCCCCATGACCCCTGCCACGGGAGGCTGCTCACGTGCCCCTGGATGATTTTTTTTTAATAAAGGAAGAAACGCAAAAAAAAAAAAAAACACCTTAGTTTTGTTCATTTAGTTTCTGTTTAAGCACCTTCTATAATGTAACAGTGCCACTTAAGAAAGTAAAACCCTACAGGTGTCCCTCACGTCTTTCAGAACACAACAGAAACACCTTAAGTTAGGCCCTCTTGGTACTTCATGACCAGATTCCTGCATAATTTTCACACATTCAGATACAAAGCATACTTGAAAGCCAGCTTCAGACACCATCCGCCACAACTAGAACATTTTTCCAAGTCCATGATTATACTTGCTCATTTCTCTCCCAGATTGACTTATACCAGAATTCTTGTCATGGCTCTATAATGAGTATACTCTTCATTTCTCATCCTTTTATTATTTTTTTACAGTCTATTTTAGAATCCGTTCTTTGGATTATTACCCTCCCTCCTCTGCTTGACCTTGAGTGTGTGACTTGTGGTTTTCTCTTGTTTCCAGCATTTCCAACAATCCTATCCACAGTGAAAGCCTGGTGACTACTTCATTCCCACCCTTGCCTTCCTGCAAACACAGTGGAATCAGGTGCTTGTTAATCATGAGATGTAAACAGTGAGTACTGGGGCCCCACGGTGGCATAGTGGGTAAGCCTGCCACCTGCAATGCTGGCATTCCATGTTAAGTGCCAGTTTGTTTATGGCTGCCTCTCTTTCAGTCCAGCTCCTGATAATGGGAAGAGCAGCAGAAGATGCCCAAGTGTTTGGGCCCTGTCCCTCAGGTGGGAGACCTGGATGAGCCCCCAGCTTTCCCCTGGCCCAGCCTTCATGGTTGCAGCCATCTGAGGAGTGAACACATGGATGGAAGATCTCTGTTTCTCCTTCTTTCTCTGTAACTCTGACTTTCAAAATGAATAAAACTTTTTAAAAAGTGAGTTATCTGGAATCTCTTAATGATGGGTACAATCGCCCCATGCAATATGTAGGCTGGACTTGGTGAAGGCAATGGATATTTGGGTGCTTTGCCCAGGTTGCCTTTTCTGGAGAGAGCTGGAGATACGTAGAACAAGACTTCACAACAGCCCCTTGTACTACTCACCTTCCTGCTGACCACCTCTCTGCTGTTTGTATTTTTTATCACAAAATAATTGAGGCTACAATTTAGAAATGATAATATAGATCATCTCCTGAGACCATACATGGATTCTTTTTTTTTCTTTTTGAGGATATCTAGGGCTTTATTTTGGAATGCAGAGGCCATACAGCAGATGGAAGATCTCTCTCTCTCTCTCCCTCTCATTGTAAGTGTACCTCTCAAATAAATAAAATCTTGAATCAGGGGGAGAGGGAAGGAGAGGAAGAGGAGGAGGGAGAGGGGGAGGAGGAGAAGAAGAAGGAAGAAAAGACTAAAACATGCCTTCCCTGTCCCGGAGCTGGCATGGGTTGCCACTTGCACCATGGGCACCAGTTTGAGTCCCGGCTGCTCCACTTCCCATGCAGATGGCTGGGAAAGCAGTGGAAGATGGCCTGAGTGTTGGGGCCCTGCACACACATGGGAGACCCGGAAGAAGCTCCTGGCTTTGGCCTGGCTCAGCCCTGTCCAATGGGGCCACTTGGGGAGTGAACCAGTGGATGGAAGACCTGTGTGTGTGTCACTCTGTCTTTCAAACAAATGACCCAAGACAGCTTCAAAAGCAAATGAGGTCTCAGCTCTGGGTTAACACAGGGACCAGGATCTGCCCACTCTCCAGGAAAAGTCCTCTTCTGCACAGGGAATGCTGGGAGCTCTCTTTCCTTACTCAAAGCTCTGCTCAAATAACACCCATCCCAGCCTTACACTAGCTGTGCCCCCCTTCAGGGGCAGCCAAGATGGGCCCGAGTTGTGGGGGCAGGTCAGCTACGTGTGGGCTGCCTCAGGGCCTTTGCACAAGCCACTCTCCACCTGACTGCTCTTCCCACTCATCTTCCATCTTGTCGCTACTCAAGTGTCGCCTCCTGCACAGATCTTCCTCAGACACTTTATCCACATCACCGGGAGGTAGGTCCTGTGTCTGACCATTGTCTAGGCAGTTACACAGCCTCGCCTTACAGTGGCTGTCTCTGCCCACATACCATGAGCACCGAGGAGCTGGCAGACACGTCTGCCCCATCCCCCTGATTTTTTGCTTGGCAATTTTGCAAGATGATTGCATTTTTCCTGAGAAACCCCAAAGGAAGATTAGTTCACATAGTCAGATAAAGCTGAATAGAAATAACACAAGACAGAGAAATGCAAGGAGGGTAGGGTTCGGAAGCTTGCAAAGTCTTTGAGATATCAAGATTTATTTATTTATTTGAAAGGCAGAGTTAGAGAGGGGGAGATCTTCCATCTGCTGGTTCACTCCTCAAATGGCTGCAATGGCCAGGGCTCAGGCAAGCTGAAGCCTGGAGCCTAGAATGCCATCTGGGTCTCCCATGTAGGTGGCAGGGCCAAAGGACATTGGCCACTCTCTGCTACTTTTCCAGGCACAAGACTCAAACAGGCTCATGTGGATTCTGGCATCAGAGGTGGTGGCTTAACCAGCTCTCTTGGGGTTTGTTTCCTATTTTTTGAGAGATTCTCTAAAATAAGTTAACTTTGATTTTCATTTGTCAGAAATTTCTCAGTAAGTAAAACAAACTGCTGGTAGTTGTCATGAAAAGTGCAAAGAGTTAGCTATTTCTTAAAGGAGAAGAGACTTTCACACAGATAAACCAACAGGTCACTCTGGTTAGTCAACAGTTTGTGTTTGTGCACGGTGCCTTAGGGTCTCCAACTAGAGGCGAAGTAGAGACTTTACAAACACCAGTGCAACAATCGGTTGAGCTGGAAAACAGGCTGAACTAAGTGTCATGCTTTCAGAAAGTGACCAGCCAGGATTTCCCACACAAAAGTTCTGTATGGTTCTAAAACAAAGTTCCACCAATTGGTTTGACACACATTTGTCACTGGTCTAGTGATGCTCAATTCATTAGCCCTCAGACTTGGCTTCGCATGGCTTGGATGCCCATCTAACCTATGCCTTCTAGAATGACTCCCTTTACAATCATCAGACAAAAACCTATCACGTAAAGACTTTGTATACATAGACAAACAACTGCATCTTAGACTTCTAGTCCCTAGAACCATGAGCTTAATAAACTTCTTTCCTTTATTTTTTCAGACTTTATTTCTTTACTTGAAAGTTAGTTACAGAGAGGCAGAGGCAGAGAGAGAGAGAGAGAGAGAGAGAGAGAGAGAGAGAGGTCTTCAATCCGCTGGTTCACTCCCTAGATGGCCCCAATAGCCAGAGCTGTGCTGAACCGAAGCCAGGAGCCAGGAGCTTCTTCCGGGTCTTCCATGTGGGTGCAGGGGCCCAAGGACTTGGGCCATCTTCTGCTGCTTTCCTAGGCCATAGTAGAGACCTGAATCAGAAGTGGAGCAGCTGAGACTTGAACTGGTGCCCATATGAGAAGCCGGCACTGCAAGCGGCTGCCTTACCTGCTCTGCCACAGCACCGGCCCCAACTTCTTCCCTTTATGATTATCTAGTCTCAAGTGTTCTGTCTTGGTGACATAATAAGGACCAAGACAGTCACAAACTCTGAGATAGTAAAATACACTGAGCATCAAGAGCCCAGTGGAATTAGTCAAAGTCAAATTACCAGTATCTCTACCTGACTGCAGATCCATTGGGCACCTGGAGTTTAGGGCCCAGTCAATGCACCTGTGTTCCAAGCAGTCTATGGTGAGTCATTGAATGGTCTCAGTAGAATCTCCAGAATGACCACTGTTGAGGATCTGAGATAAAAAGACACAGCTGTGGTTAAGCCTTAGCGTTACAAGAGGAAACTCTGCTTGCAGATACAGTCCCTCAGAGCATAGCAGAATGCTGATCGTCCATGACTGCTTGGGGCAGCGTGGCGCTCAGGGACTAAAGGATGTTCAGAGGGGGAGTGAGCTTGCATCACCGTGAAGTGTGGCTCCACGGGTGAGAGTGCTGCTGGCTATTGGTGCTCAGAGGTACAGTTCAGTGGTGAGTCTGCCCTGATGGGCTGACTTTCACAAGTGAGTGCTGACACCAACAATTTAGTTTGGCAAATGTGTATTCATAGAACTGCATTGTCCTCGATCATTTAGAGAGGTTTAAACAATGAACACGGATCTTTATTGCCACAGCTACAGAACAACCAGACTTTCCTAAGTTTGCAGGAACGTTTTTATTCTCACCCTTGCATAGTGGAACCAATGTGTCTAGTTTGAATATCCTGATTATTCCATCAGATTCTTGTGACCCATCATGCATTTTAACAACACATTGCTTTAGCCTGAAAAATCTCCTGAAACCACACTTCCCAAGTACAAGCTGTTTTTTTAAGACTTTTTTATTTGTTTGTAAGGCAGAATTAGAAAGAGAGAGGGAGAGATAGAGATACAGAGCTCTTCCACCCAATGGTTCACTCCCCAGATGGCTGCAGTGGCCAGGGCTGGGCCAGGCTGAAGCCAAAGCTAAGAGTCAGGAACTCATCCAGGTCTCCCACATGGGTAGCAGGGGCCCAAATACTTGGGTCAGTGCTGCTGCTTACCTGGGCCCAGTGGCAGGGAAGTAGAGCAGAAGTGTAGCAGTGAGAACTTGAACCAGGGCTCCAATATGGGATGCCAGTATTGAGGATTAACCTGCTGTGCCACAGTGCCAGCCCTGCAGATGTGAGTCTTTGTCCCTTCATTCAAATAGCTACTATTGATGGAAATCCATTGGTTATCTGAGATAGTAATAGGAGAGTGAAGCAGAATGGTTAGAGAGAATGTAAGAACACACTAGGTCTGTGATTAATCAGTAAATAATTATTCAGTATGCAGACGTTTTGAAAGAATGAGCTCTAATGCAACTACCTGTCCCCAAAGAACTCATTTATTGGGGAAAGGTGAGGTTAAATGGCACAACAGCTGGGATGCCACTTGGGACACAGGCATCCAATATAGGAATGCCTGATTCATTCGGGTCCTGGATCGTTTGTTTCCAATCCAGCTTCCTGATAAGGTGCATGCTGGGAGGCATCAGGTGATGGCTGTAGTACTCGGGCCCCTGCCACCCATGTGGGGAACTTGGATTGAGTTCTAAACTCCTGGCTTCGGCCTGACCCAGCCCTGGCTGTCATGAGCATATGGGGAGTGAACCAGCAGCACTCTGCTTCTCTCTGTATATTCATCTCTCTCTCTCAAATAAAATGAAAATAAACAAATATTTTAGAAAATGTTTATATATGAATCTGAAATTGTGAGGTATGTGTTTTAAATGCACTTCAGAAATTATTAGGAAAAATCTAGTTTGATTTGAATATTCACTTTTTTGAAAAAAATCACTCTCCTTTTTTTGTGAGTCTACCAATGAGCTTGTTGAGTACTTGTAGTAATGAACATGATCAAGTGCTTCATTGCAATCATCAGTTAGTAGAGAGCAAAGAGCTAAGTGGTCCATAAGTCGGAGAGGCACAGAATGAGCAAATACATCAACATCTGAAGACATTAGAGACTCAAAACTAACAATCAAAATGCTCTTGACAGTTGGAGTCTCTATCATCCAGAGGTAGCCCTGTAAATTAGCCACATTCTGTCTTCTGCCAAGGAACTTGATGTTGAATGCAGCATCAAAAGACGGCCCAGTAAAATGGTCTGTATTCACATTAGGGTAAAATACATGCATTTCTGAAAAACACAGAATTGGATGATTAAACTACAAAAATTTCTGACTCAAAGCAAACCCCAAGTGTTATCAGTATCATCATCAGTGTGAGCAGTAGCCCCTCGTGACCAGTGTCCCCGGAATGATTCTGGGTCCCCAGTGTCACCATCCCCGGCATGAGCAGTGAGACCAGTGTCCCAGGATGACCCATGTCACCATGCCCAGTATGAGCAGCCTCTCCGGGGTGACCATCTCTAGCATCCCAGGTCACCAGTGTGTCCAGCATCACGAGGAAGGTGAGTCTGCAGAGGGGAGAAGAATTCAGTCAGAATTATTGTTCTAAGTCATCTTTGGACAACGGGGAAAACTGCCCTCCCTGGTGTTCTTTTGAGGCTTTAAGGAAACTGGTGGCTGTCTTCATCTGTTTTCTGTTACTGTAACCCAATACCAGAGACTGGATAATTTATTAAGAAAAGAAATCCATTTCTTGGAGACTAGGAAGCCCAAAGTTGGGGGCTGCATCTGATGGGAGCTTTCTGGTTGGAAAGGAACTCTCTGCAGAGTCCTGAAGTTGTGCAGGGCAGCTCATGTTGAGACAGAGAAAGTGTATGAGCTTTGGTCTCTCCTTCTTTTCTTATAAAGGCACTAATGCAAACCCAGGAACCCCACTCCCATACCTCATCTAATCCTAATGACCTTCCAAAGACCCTCACCTCAAATACCATATAACATTGAGGACCACAGCACTGGCAGGGGTGGCGGTGGCGGCGGGCACTGCCTGCGAGAAGAAGCCACCAGATGCCAGGAGGGGCCGGTGCCCACAGGCTCCCCCACCCATGCAGCGCGGACAAGGAGCTGGAGATGCTGTGCTAGTGCCTGGGGGCGGCTGTGCCCGCGCAGCTCCGCAAGGTGGCCTCGGCACTGGTGCTCGGCCTCCGGGCGCTGGCCGTCCATGTCTATATGCTGGTGTCCACCCCGGCCCGGGAGGACGACTCGTGCACCGACACGCCAGTCAACTTCTGCTGTGCAGCGTCCCTCAGTGAGGAGACCCTGCAAAGGCCCCCCAGGGAGCAGTCTGAGGCCAGCTGGACAGGCAGGAACCCCCCGGCCTCGCGGCCCCCTCCAGCCAGGTCTCAGGGTACCGGCTCAAGGCTGGGTGTACCAGCTGGAGCCCGGAGCAGGCCCGGGGCACAGGCAGGAGCCGAGCTGGGCTGGAGCTGCCCCTGGGCAGGCCCCCAAGGGCCCAAAGGACTGGGCTGGAGGGGAAGGAGGGAGGCAGTCCCTGTGCCTCAGGACACCCACTGAGGAGGGCGAGGAGGGCGTGTACTGCTTCTAGGACTCTGAAGAGGCACCCTGCTTGGCCTGGCCGCTCCCACGGTGTGGCCATCCATCATCCCACAGGCCCTGAAGCAGGGCGGGAAGGAGGCCCCGGCCCCAGCCAAGGAGCCCCCTGGGCCCAGCCCCGGCTGATCCCCGAGGATATCCCACCTTGCTACTCCCTGAGCTCCTCTGCCAGCTCGCTTAGTGTGCCTGAGCCCTATCAGGAGCCAGCCAGAAACCTGAGAGGCCCGGAGCCCACAGTCCCCCAGGCCCCGTGCCGGGGAAGTGGACATGACAGCTCCCCCAGCCCGCGGTCCAAGGAGGAGCTCCTGCACCACTGCATAGGCTC